TCAAGCTGGTCTCCACTGTGGACAGCAGGTAACCCACTAGAAAGGGCCCTCCAGAAACAGAGCACCTCAGAACGTGTCCACTGGCTCCCATCCCCCAGAGCTTGAAGGCTGCCCAGTGGCTGCTTAATCCTTCAGACTTTTACATTTGCGAGTGTGCAGCAATGGCTACGTGGCTCCCCCCAGGGACCCCAGTGGCAGGCACAGTGGTGCCCTGGGGCAGAGGCGAGGGGTATGCACGGTCTGTCCCGAAAACAGATGCTGTCAGGCTACATGCATGCCACCTGGTTGCTATGGCAACAGCTGGGGTTGAAATGTGGGTCAAGAGGGTATGAGGTAGGGCGCGAGGGAGGTCTGCAGTGCAATATGTAATCCTTTAAAACCCTTAATAATTCTGTACAAGTCAGATCAAAGTCATTTCACAAAGTCTTTTCTTGGAAAGAGCCCTCAGTCTTCTTCTACCTCTTCACCTTTCCATTACTGCCATCGCCATCCTCCTTTCCATTATTCACCATCAAACCAAGTTTTTATTCCACCTTGAAAGCTGTGGCTGACATATGTGAGACAAGGACATCAAGCGACACCAAAAGCTGGATGTTGGTGAGGGTTGGATGCGCCCACCGGCTCTGTGACTCATTACATTCACAGGTGACTTCTCAGAGGGACTGGTTACTACTCAACCTCCCCAGGCACCTGTGCCTTTCTTTCCTGCACCACACAATTAGCATCTTATCCTGGATGGCTATAGCCTCTAACTGCCTGTTAATACACCACTCAGCACTTTAACAGAATCAGTGCTGATATGAACATGATCATTTTATTCCTTAATAATTTCACCTCTTTTTTATGTCCTGTCTCCTCAACTCAGTAATAGACCGGGTCTTAACATTTCTTTTATTCTGAACTCAATGCTGGACACCTAGTAATAGGATAAATGCCTGCTGTTTTCTCTAAAGCACTGGGCCGCAAGATCAGGTACCCAAAGAGGATATCAGGTAATGAAACCAAACTGATCCTGAAGACAAGGTTTTCTAAATGACCTTAGTCTTCTGTATCCCATCAATTAAAAAAAATTAGGTCCCTTAGGGTTGACAAGATACTGGGAGGAGATGAAGAAGAGAATACAAGTGTAGGGTAAGACTGTAACCCTGATTCAATGCCCTGTGACAGAGGGTCACCAGCTCCCAGGCCACGAAGAACTTTCTCAGAGAGATGACTTTATAAAGTGAGTTGATGTATCACTTACATCCATTACCTCATTCAATTCTCAGGATCCAGCCTTATGCAGTAGTTGTCACTACTACACCCATTTTATGGATGAGTACATTGAGGCTCAAAGCAATAACAACTCCAGTCCCACAAATGGCAGATGATAGAGGTGATGGAGCTGGAATGTGAACCTAGGTTTCTCTGACTCTAAAGCTTATGCTCTTGATTGTGCTATATTACCACAAACTCTAAACAAAGAGCTTCTCTCTCCCTCTCTCTCAATAGTGGGTTATCACCAGAGCATTGTAAATGCAAAAGACATTGCAGAGAAAATGAGAAAGGACAGGCACTGGACTGCAACTGTGAACTAAAGCAGGCAGAGAGGAATAGAAATTGAATGGGAATTCAGCCGAAAGATTTAGGGACTGACATTCACAGGGATGAGATGCTGGCAGGCTCCCTGGTGGGATGCCCAAGAGTGACAGAGGGATCTGGGTTCTAATCTTCAACACCGTACTTAGCTGTCTGTGTGTGGCTTAGACAAACTGATTTACATCTCTATGCCTCACTCCCCTCATCGGGGAAATGGAAATAATTTGTGAGAAAATTGTGAGAATCTGTGAGAAGATGTGATTATGTACACGATGTCTGACATGTAGTACCTCAAGAATGGTAGCTATTTTTTTAAATTGAGGTAACATTGATTTAAAACCTTCTATAAGTTTCACGTGTATAGCATTATATTTCTACTTCTGTATACCCTACAATGTGCTCACCACCAAAAATTCAGTTTCCATCTGTTATCCTCCCTCCTGCCCCTTCCCCTCTGGTAGCCACTACTCTGTTTTCTGTAGCTACCTGTTTGTTACTGTTTGGTTTGGTTTGTTCATTTACTTTGTTTTGTTTTTTTTTTACTGGGTGTTTGAATTGTAGTTGATTTACATTACTACTTAGTTTCAGGTGTACAGTGTAGTGATTCAGTATTTTTACAGCTTACACTCCATTAAAAGTTATTACAAGATAATGGCTAAAATTCCCTGTGCTACACAATATATCATTGTAGCTTATCTATTTTATACATAGTAGTTTATATCTCTTAATCCCATATCCTCAATTTGCCCCTCCCATTCCCTCTTCCCTTTGATAACCACTAGTTTGTTTTCTATACCTGTGAGTCTGTTTCTGTTTTGCATATACATTCATTGGTATTATTTTTTAGATTCCACATATAAGTGATAACATACAGTATTTGTTTGGTTTCCACTGCCTGAGGAGACATATCTAGAAAGATATTGCTAAGAACAATGTCAAAGAGCATACTGCCTATGTTTTTTTCTAGGAGTTTTATGGTTCCATGTCTTACATTCTAGTCTTTGATCCATTTTATGTTAATTTTTCTGTACGATATGAGATAGTGGTCTAGTTTCATTTTTTTGTATGCAGCTGTCCAGTTTTCCCAGCACCGTTTATTGAAGAGACTATTTTTCTCTGTTGTATGTTCTTTGCTCCTTTGTCATAAATTAATTGTCCATATATGCATGGGTTTATTTATGGGCTCTCAATTCTGTTCCATTGATCTATGCATCTATTTTTCTGCCAATACCATGCTGTTTTGATTACTATGGCTTTATTAAATAGCCTGAATTCAGGCAATGTGATGCCTCCAGCTTTATTCTTTTTTCCTCAGGACTGCTTTTGCTATTTGAGGCCTTACATGGTTCTGTATACATTTTAGAATGTTTTATTCTATTTCTGTGAAAAATGTCCTTGAGATTTTGATAGGGATCACACTGGATCTGTAGATTGCTTTAGGTAATATGGACATTTTGACAATGCTAATTCTTCCAATCCATGAGCATGGAGTATCTTTCCATTTATTTGTGTCTTCTTCAATTTCTTTCAACAATGTCTTATAGTTGTCAGTGTACAGGTCTTTCGCCTCCTTGGTTATATTTATTCCTAGGTATTTAATTCTTTTTATTGTGATTGTAAATGGGATTGTCTTCTCAGTTTCTCTTTTTGTTAGCTTATTGTTAACATACAGAAATGCAACAGATTTTTGTATATTGATTGGTGTCCTGCAACTTTGCTGTATTCATTATTTCTTTTTTTTAAATTTAGTTTATTTATTTTGGGTCTTCATTGCTGTGTGAGGGCTTTCTTTAGTTGCAGTGAGCAGGGGCTACTCTTCGTTGTGGTACGCGGGCTTCTCTTCTCATTGCCGTGGCTGCTCTTGTTGCAGAGCATGGGCTCTAGGCATGCAGGCCTCAGTAGCTGTGGCTCGTGGGCTCTAGAGCGCAGGCTCAGTAGTTGTGGTGCACGGGCTTAGTTGCTCCATGGCATGTGGGATCTTCCCACACCAGGGATCAAACCCATGTCCCCTGCATTGGCAGGCGGATTCTTAACCACTGTGCCACCAGAGAAGCCCTCATTCATTATTTCTAATAGTTTTTTGGTGGAGTCTTTAGGGTTTTTGAAAGCTATTTTTAACAGTGGGTCACTGACTTTCCATTGGAAACACACTTTCCATGGCCCTTTTTAAAACCCTGGACATGACAGAGGCCACAGCCAGAGGCAGGGGATGGTAGGCATATTGTCAGCCACTCCCTCCTCCTCCCATGGGCATATCTCCCCAGCTGGAGGAAGGTCAGTGCCAGCTGCCTCAGCACACGGTCCGCTCTCACTCTGAGCTCTTCTGCGGCCCTGCTGTGTATTCGTTCCCTGATAAGAGGCTGGTGGTGGCCATTTTGTTAAAGGGCCAACTGGAGACATGGCCCAGACGAGGGAGAAGCGGCAGGGCATCTTCATGACACGCTACCTCATCCAAAGAGAGATGCGGCGTCCTTGCTGTGTGGGTCCATGGGACCTTGCAGAAGGTGGCCGCCTCCCCATGGAACCCCACAGAGCCCTTTCCAACGGGTCCTGCAGCTCATGCTGGCCTCTTCAGTCTCGGTCCTTTGGAACTCACGTGGATACAGCCCCACGGAGTCACTAAAACTGAGGCCAGCTGCCAGCACCCAATGCATAAACAGTCATGATGGCCACCTCCCCTCACACCCCCCAGAGAGCCTAGAGGGGCCTGCCTAAGGCCTCTACCAAGCAAGTCTCTCATCGTTGGCACCCTGATCAATCTTCCCCAGGGGGCCCCAGAGGAAGAGCTGAACCCAGGTGGAGGAAAGAGTGGGCCCCAGTGAGTTACGACGCTGTAATTCCATCAAGGGCTTCTGGAGAGATCATAAACTCACATCCCACATCTCCCCGTCCCCCTGGCCCTTTTTCTCCCCAGCATGATTTACAAGCCTATAATTCTGAGGCGGGACTGCTTCGTATTTCACATAATTCAAATATTTTCCTAAAACAACATCAGGCCTTCTCTTTGCCAAGGAGCAGCAGCAGCGCCCTCTGGTGACTGGTGGCCCAGGTGGGCTCTTGGGCAGAATTTCCAGAGCTTGTTGGAAACCCGAGTCCTGCCTGAAACCCAGTGGGTATGAAGGGCCTCTCTAGGGTTCACGGTCATGCAGATGTGGGCCAAGAGGGACTTACAAAGCACTGATTTCTGAGGCTCCACAGATTCAGTTGACAAGCATTTACTGACCCCGGCTCATGTGGCACTCCCTACAGACCCCATGAATCACATTGCCAAGCCGAGTCCTCTTTCGGTGCCTCCGTTTTGGCCCTTCACATCCTTTCAAATACTAAAGACTGTGTGTAAATTCCGCCATCGCCGCAGCCCCTCCTGGCCCAATGCACCACCCCGAGGCCAGTGGAATGTACCAATACCTCACCTTGTGGTTCATGCTGTCATCATCGGTCTCTCCCATTAGAATATGAGCTCCGTGAAGGCAGGGACCTTCTCTGCTTGGACTCTGCTGCATCTCCAGCATCTGGGACAGTGCCTGGCCCCGAGCAAGTGCTCTAGAAATGTCTGTTGAGTGAAGCATGAATGAAGGAATGAGCAAATGATTGAACACGTGAGGCAGCTAGATGGCCTACAGCACTGACCCCAATCGATGACAGTGGAAGAGAGGCTGGCCTCAAATCCTAGACCCAAGCTTGAGCACGAAGGCCGGTGGGGCTGATACAGGACCCTTCCTGCCGCCTTTCCCTACTGCTAGCTTTGCTTTGGGGGGAGGTCCATAGACAGCGGGCTGCATGGTGGCAAAAGAGGGTGACTCTTCTGGACCTGCCACTGGGACAGGGCCAGAGAGTGGGACCCCTGAAGGGTAACCCACCCTGCTGCTGTGATGAAGGCCTCTTGTCGGCCTGCCTCATGTCCTTCCTGGGCAGCTGCAATGGCGGTGTGCCATCACTAGGTTCCCAGGGCATCTGCCTCTGGGATCAAAACAACTTGAAGGCCTCAGCTATGTAAAGTGGTGGCCGCCCCCTCTGGTCCAGATTCCTCTGGGGCCCAGCATCCTCCCCACCTTCCTGACTTCCGCCTGTGCCTGGCTTTTCCCTTTAAAATCTGCTCATGTTCTCCTCGGTGGTAGCTGGTAACTATGGAAACTACAATTAGGCTGTTTTGCTCAGTGTCTCTAAAAATTGCCAAGTGCAGGCAGCAACAGCCCCTGACTTATCAGAGACCCTGCTCAGGCTCTTCCATATGTTCTTTTAGGACACACCCTCTGAGCATTTAAGAAAATGCTCCTCCAGCTACCTGAGATGAAAGACCACTTTCTCTCTGTAAAAATTTTCATTTCACCGCAGTCCCATGTTTTTATAAAACACGATGAAAACAAATGAGAAAAATGAAAAGAAAAAACAAAAGTACAGGGCTTCCCTGGTGGCGCAGTGGTTGAGAGTCCGCCTGCCGATGCAGGGGACGTGGGTTCGTGCCCCGGTCCGGGAAGATCCCACATAACACGGAGCGGCTGCGCCCGTGAGCCATGGCCGCTGAGCCTGCGCGTCCGGAGCTTGTGCTCCGCAACGGGAGAGGCCACAACAGTGAGAGGCCCGCATACCACAAAAAAAAAAAAAAAAAAAAAGTACAACTGACAAGACCCAATTTTATAATCGTAAATTCAGTAGTCATAGGAGGACTCTTTCTAATAGCTATAAAAGTTCCTCAACACTTACTCTCAATTTCCATCCTGTATCATCGTGGGTGAGCATCAGTTTGTGGACAGGCTTCAGTCATAGACTATGCTTTGAATAGCTCTGGCCCAGAACGCCACTCAGGGTCTCGCCCCTTCCAGACACATCTCTGACCAACCCTGCTGGCCCTGCTGTCCAGCTTGGGCCTGTACCGAAAGGTGCCTCAGAGTGGAAGGTGGGGCTTCACTGGGAACACTGACAACCCACGGAAATGTCTGCACTTGAACCTGAGCAAATATGTGTGAGGAAAGCAGCTGCAGAGGATTGCCACGCCAGGAAATGCTCTCCCAAAGCCAGGAACGGAGGCTTACTCATCCAGCCATGAGAGGTTTTCCATCGCCCTGGATTCTAGCGTGGGATCTGATGGCGCAATCCTGGGGTCGCTCAGAGATCTGACTGCCCTGCGATTCACCAAATAACCCCACCACTGTCTCCCTGCTTGCTCCTGGAATAAGCCCACTGCATGGCCTGGATGGACATTCATCATTTTTTCTACCTGACCTCTGAGCTTCCTTCCCCTTTAAAAAATTGAGCTATGTTTTGTACAGTAAATTACGCATATATCAAGAGTACAGCTGTGAATGTTTACACATGTGTACCAACCAGATCAAGATATAGAACACATGCATCTCCCCCAAAGGTTCCCTCATATCCCTTGCTAGTAAATACTAACTTTCCTGCACCTCCCTGAGGTAACTACTATTCTACTTTTTATCACCACAGATGAGTTTTATGAGGTCAAACAGTGTATATTCTAGTTTTTTACTTCTTTCACTCAATATAACACCTGTGAGATTCAGCCACGCTGCAGCCTGGTATCACTGGGTTCTTTCTTTTTGCTGCATTGTGTTCCATAGTTGCTGTGAACAGTCTTGGACAGCTTTTCTGTGCACATATATTTCATTGCATTCAGATAAATATTTAATAGGGTAATTGTTGGGTCCTAAAGCAGACATGTGTTTAGGTTTTTAAGTAGACACAAAGTTTTCCAAAGCAACTGAACAAATTCATACTTCTGTCAGAAATGTCTAAGAATTCAGGTTGCTCCACCATCTCTGCAAGACTTGGTCTTGTCACCCTTTTCTTGTTACCCAGTGGGTGCGTGACGGTGTCTCATTGTGGTTCGAATCTGCATCCGTCTGATGAATAATGATGTTGAGGACCTTTTCATATGATCACTGACCATCAGGATATCCTCTTTTGTAAAGTACATGTTAACTCTTTCACCCTCTTTTAAAAAATCAGATTTTTAATCAGATGTACAGGCATATGTCGGAGATATTGTGGGTTTGGTTCCAGACCACTGCAATAAAGTGAGTCTCACGAATGTTTGGTTTCCCAGGGCATATGAAAGTTATGTTTACATTATACTGTCGTTTATTAAATGTGCAATAGATTAGGTCTAAATACCTTAATTTAAAATACTTTATTGTGGGCTTCCCTGGTGGCGCAGTGCTTGAGGGTCCACCTGCCGGTGCAGAGGACACGGGTTCGTGCCCCGGTCCGGGAAGATCCCACATGCCACGGAGCGGCTGGGCCCGTGAGCCATGGCCGCTGAGCCTGCGCATCCAGAGCCTGTGCTCCGCAATGGGAGAGGCCACACGGCATTGGGAGGCCCGTGTACCACAAAATAAATAAATAAATAAATAAAATAAAATAAAATAAAATACTTTACTGCTAAAAAATGCTAACTATCACCTGAGCCTTCAGCAAGTTGTAATCTTTTTGCAATAGTAACACCAAACATTAATGATCACAGATCTTCATAACACATATAATAATAATGAAAAATTCTCAAATACGGCAAAAATTACCCAAATGCGACACAGAGACACAAAGTGAGCAAACGCGGTTAGAAAAAATGGTGCTGACAGACTTGCCTGAGGCAGGGCTGCCACAAACCTTCAATTTGTAAAAATCACAGTATCTGCAAAGTACAGTAAAGCAAGGCACAATAAAACGAGGCTCGCCTGTGTTGTGAATAGCTTCTCCTCACCCATGGGTTACCTGTTCACTCTCTAAATGATGACTTTGATGGGAAAAGTTCTTATTTTAATGTTGTCCAATGTATTACTCTCCTCTTCCATGATCAGTATTTCTCTGTACTAAGAACATTTTGTACATCCCCAAAGTCATGAAGATATTATTTGTTTTCCAACAGAAACTTTCTCAGGTAATTTGGGGTGGTTGTATTACTGCTGTTGGTTTTCATGTTTTCACAAATGGAATGTTGCTTGCTTGCACTCAGAGGCTCTCTCAGTAAAGGGAAAATGAACCTCTGAATATACAACTAAGGCAGAAATGACTACCTCATGTAAGTCTGGTAGGCCCACTGGAATGAGATGACTTTGGGCCAGGATGGAGCCAGGGATGACCCAAGAGGAGACCCCCATGCCCAGCCTTCCTGCTAAGATGGGACGACATCTCCCTCTTAGCCCTGATCTATGCCACACTTCGGGGGTGATGTAACTGGTTATTAATTATCGTTGTTGTTAACAGGCAAGACTTGTACATTTGTACAAGACTTGTACAATTCAAGAGGCACAAAAGAGCCTCCATCCTTCCCATGTTCCCCGGCCATTAGTTCCCTCCCCCAGGGGTAGCCGCCATTTCTGTCCATGTCTTCCTTTCCCAGAGACAGCCCATGCGAACTCTGTGATGCAATTATTCAGTTGGATGTTTGCAGGGAACACAGGCTTAAACTCAGTAAACAACAGCATGAGTATCTAAAGCGTCTCTAGCTACATGTCAAAGCTCCAGAAGCAGGGGTTTTGTGGGGGTTTTGGGGGGGGGGTAGAGGGTAGGTATTTTTTCAAAGGAAAGAATGACAGGGCCATGGGAAAAGAGATAAATAAGGCAAGAGAGAGGGAATGAAAGGAGGAGAGAGCCTGCTCTATAATAAAGCAATCCATCTGCCCAGCACGCTCCAGCCGGGTTCCAGATTCTGAGCCCTCTGCTGGTACCCAGGGATCAGCCTGGACTTGGCTGGTGACGCGTGGAAGCCATCCGTCCACGGCTCAGGCCAGGACCTCCCCTGCTGCTTCAGTGGCTCTTCCTTACTCGTTCGCACTGTGCTCCTGGAAACCTTGGATTTGCCTGACAATTTCTTCTTCTTTATTTTTTAAACATAATTATTGTATAGACTGGAATCTCCTTCCTCACAGTTTCATTGAGAGGCTAGCCCTGCCTTCCGGGACCAAGATGAGAGCCTGCACAGAGCAGGGCGGAGATGGAAGGGAGATACAGAACGAAGCCACCTTTCCAATCACGGATATGTGAAAGCAGGGGAACATGTGGGGAGAGGCAGCACCCCTGGGTTTTGTCCCTGGGAAGTGTGCGCATGCAGGACCAGATATAAGAGGAGCACGTATATGGGCTCATTCAGGCCGGTCCTGCATGTGCTGCCAGCCCTGGACATGCTCCTAACAAAGGCTGTAACCTCAGAGACAGCCACGAAAGGCCACCTTGCTCCCACTCTACTTCCGGTGGTCGTCAGTTCCACTGGTGGGGAGGAAGTTTGCCTGCACCCACCTCCCCTCCTGGCTGGAATGAGAGTCCCTATGAGTAGACCACGCCACAGGCAGAGTCAGCATCCGCTGTGCCGTCACACAAAATAGATGGTGTTCACTGCTTTGGTCATAGCGCAGGATCCAAGACCATAGAAGGCCTGGTCTTTGCCCTTCAGAGCTTACAGTATAACTAAATAGACCATAAAAGAGAGTAAAACAGATGACTTAACCACACTTTGATGATGGCAGAAAGAAATGCTACAAGACAGTTCATGACTAATTGGTAAATGAGCAGGAAAAGTATACTTGCCATAGCTCTGTG